AAATTTACGTACAGTGTATGTATATGATAATATTATTATTTACAAGACATGAGGATGGAAAAGAAACATAAAAATCAAAAGTAAGAAAGATACAAAAGATATTCACGAGGCGTCCTCCAAATGCCTAATTTTTTTTTTTTACACATTTTAGAGAGTCCATCGGTCTTTGCATATTACTCTTAAACTATAGATGAATTGGTGTGAGCGTTTGAAAAAAACTAAAGAATATTTACTTAATTATACACATTACATTTTCAGGAATCGGAGAGAATGGTATTCAAGTCTGGTTGGTTTTGGCTCCTCCAACATCACATGGGAGTCTTTTTTAAGTCTCAAGCTCTGCTACCAAGAGTCAATCTCTTTCGTTGGAGGCCTTCCACAGGATGTCCAGCCAATTCAGGTGCCTCTAGCTCAAAATTTAAATAATTTTGCCTTCTGTGTGAAAAAATTTACATATTTCATATTTTTCCATTACAAAGAATGAAGGAATGAACTTTTGTAATTTATTGAGGCACCTGGTGGACTAGAAACAAGTAGGCCCATACTGGGTAAAACAAAAGATCTAATTCAATAGGTTTGTTCATTCCATAATGAAAATTTTGTCTGTATCCTAAAGTTATCTGAATTTGTAAAGTACGAAGAAGAATAAGCTCCACAATGGGGTTGGTATCAGGATCAATATGGACATTATAGTCTCTTTGGGAGGGTAGTTGGCATTAGAGTTTGTTTTTAGAAAATAGATATCTTGCTGCTTTTGCTGGTATGCATAAAATTTCCTAAATCTTAATCAATTGTACTAGTTAAAAGCGACAGCGATCATGATACTATATAAATTAGATGTAACAACAGCAGAGAGGTGATGGTAACTCAAACGTGGAACGAGATAATACATAAATTTTTTTTGGTTTCGCCATAGTACTTTAAGTGAGAGTTTCTACAGTCGTTCAATTTGAATTGTTTCTTTTCTTTCAGTTCTTAAAAGAGTTTTCCTTTAGCCGTATTAATCTGTCTCATGATATTATTTATGCAAAGAAGGCAGCTAATTTTCTTGCTCCTCTACTGAAGCAAATTGCTGTTCTTTTGATTAATTTAAGGTCATTATTTTCTCAAATGAAGATACCGAATATTAAAGCATAACATTCAGCCAATTCAACCCCTTTATTTGGTAGATTCGAGACTACAAGCACCTTCAAAGTCCTCAAACAATACCAAATCCCCGGGTAATATTCTCTCTTTTTTTAGTTGTATTATCCGAATATACAAAGTTTTCCAGTGCTTTTTACTTGCTGCAAAATTTATACTAAGTTAAGACAAAATTATCCAGTAGTGTATTTAAATAGTGAAATATTATGTACTCTTCCTCTGAACCATCAAAAAAGGGAACATTTTAACGACGATTTTCCAGTAAAAGACTGAGAGATGGTGACCCCTCTGTTAAAAAAATCCTGACAACTTTCAAACAATATTTTATTACCAACCATAACTACTGATTGTTAAACAAGCTACTTATATGATAACTGAGGTATAAAATTCCAAGTTACTGAACTTTACAGGGAAAAAATTAAAGAATTCCTACTATCTGAGACCAATTTGGATTTGTTATTGACAATTGAAAACAATTCAGAAATGTCAATTTGGCCAAAAAGTTTCAGCTAAAAGCAGCTCAAGTAAATTACCGCATCCGCCTTTGATAACTACTTTATGAGGGGGAACAAAATTCTATGGCCAACAAAGGAAAAAATGACCGCATGGGAATTACCTAGAGGTTGTCTTTCAACCATTTTAGAGCTCCATTTGCAACAGACCTGCAAAGTCCCTTTCCTTCTTCGGTCAATGCATACATACAAGCAAGAGAATATATAATAGTATACAGAACACATTGAAGGTACACAAAAATCAAACATGACCACATTACAAGTCAAAGTGGCAAAGTTTGGATATGCTTGGTGTAAGTTCATAACATTATCAGTAGGAACAATGGGATGATTGCCAAATAAGAGCTATCCAACCAATAAAAATGTCAACTACAGCTGTGTCTCGAACTGTTGAGCAATTGCTCAATTGTTATTTCCTTTCTCTGGCCAGAGAAAGAAGATACAATGTTCAAGTCTACGTTCTGGCAACAACCTTTTTTACTTGTAGCAAAAAGAAAGAAAAAAAACATACTTGTTTCCACAACACAATATGCATGTTGTGAACTTACACCAAGCATCTATCAATAAGCATATAGGTTTGGCTCACATCTTTAAGGTGGGGATATAAAATTCATAATAATTGAAACATCCAAAGCAGCTAAATCACATATGTCCAAACTCAGGCACATAGAACCTAGATGGCTTGGCTCAGTAAAATACTACAGCTAGTTTATCAGTTATAGATGCTGCTTAAAAGAAGGTAGGATTTAACAGTAGAAAATTGTGAAATGGGATTTAAGGAGTTCAAAAAAAAAAAAAAAAAATTCATTTGAGTGATTTGGTAACATGAAGGTTTAACATCCAATAAAATCTGAAAATACTACTAGGGAGGTTAAAACAAACTTAGCATAGTTGTATCTGGTTCAAATCTATTCCATTCTTATTTAATTCCTAAATCTTAGTTATTTAATATGTAGAAGTTAGTCATACTTTATACATTTGATGCATAATTGAACCAACTCAACTCATATTTTCAATTTCGTAACTACGAGTTTTCTATTCTCACCTATCAAGTACAGAATTACAAAACATATCTAATTTAACATAGAATTGACTTGAAATTATAATGTTAATTTTGTTTTATTCTTATTTTTATTCCATAAATTGAAATTTGAACCACTCAAAATTAGTATTTTAACCTGGAAATCAATAAACTAACCCAGTTGTTCACAGGCCTATAGATAATTTGGTAAGAAGGAAACCATTGGATTCTTTATAATAATTCTTTTCCAGTTAATATGTTATGAGAGAGGATGACTTTTTTGGCCTCCTTATAGGCCAAGGTTCATGAAAAATTTTCTGATTTCTCTCTTACCGATCTCCATAGGGGGAGGGAAACGATAATCACATGATCAGCCGTGATCTGATTTTGTTTCTTTATGCTGCTACCTATGTTCTTTTATTTTGAAGCATTTTCAGCTGCATTCTTATCTGCTATTTTTGTTTTCTTTCACTTCTTTCTTAATAAAGATTCTTTTCTATTAAAAAAAAGAACAATATACTAAATATCAACCAAAGATCCCCTGGATGGTAAATAATAGTGTAGCCAAATCCACACAGATATCTACCACCCCAACCCCCACAAAAGAAAATGAAAGAAAAGAATAAGAAAGAGAAAAAAACATAGGATTACCAATGAGGGATTACCCTGCAAAAACAGTCAACTTCTTCCATAGGTCATTCTGGTCTTCTGATTCTTCAACTTTCTCCGCTACCTTAGCTGTCTGATTTTCTGTACTTCCAGCTGCAAAAGACAAACATCAAATTAACATTGTAAATTAACATATCAGTCATCTACGAAATCAAGAAATTTTATAGCAGCAAAAACAAAATCCAACATTTCACCACCATAATTTCCCTTTAGACCCTAAAATATTAATCAAAGAATAAACCTTACCACTACTATTATATCAATGCCAGAGAGAAATGCATGTAAAAAATAATCAACAATATGTTACAGAAATTTGCAAATAAATCAACCGCTTACATGATGTTTGAGCTTTTGCACGAGTCCGTGGACGGGTGCTGGCAATGTTACTCAGAGAAGCAAGTTCTTCAAGTAGGTCCCGCTCTTTAGAACTATGAATTCACGTTCAAAGAAACAAATAATGTTTATTGATTAAGAAATTATCACAAAGCATAAGATAAAGCTTTTTTCTTTCTTAAGAGGAAACAAAAAGCTCTTTTCTTTTCTTTTGAGGAATCAGATTAATATGGTGACAAGGCCACACTTCAATATTGTAGATGAGCCAACTCAATCTAGTACTACAAAACTGCCAGTCAAACATGCATTTCTAGGTATCATTAACCCCCTCAAAATCGAGATGCAGTTGTTTCATGCCAGATATAAATATTGCAAAATTTAGGCACAAAACAAAGAAAGAAGAATCATGAATTCTTTTTATATTTCATATATATGTGTATGTTTGTGTTTTTTAAAAAACCTACCAGTAGGAAGATTGCACTCTATACCTTAACCGGAAGCTCACCCAATCTTTTTTACACCCAAGTAAGCAGGATTTTCCGTATACAACTCTTATAAAAGAGTGGTATTTATAGAATTAAGAAAGAAAAGTCAGAAGGAAACTACTTGCTCAGTAGCACGTAAGTACATATTTACAAAAATAACAAGGTGAGGCTTTTGTTATCCTACTTAATAACATTGTATTCAAAGGCACAAGTATCAATGGAAAAAACAAATAGACAAACAAAAGGAACACAAATAGATATAGCTCCCTGCAATTTTGTAGAACGATTAAGAGAAGAAATAGACCTAGATATGATTCTAGAATCCTACTTCTTAGAAGTTCACTAAAGTACTTTTAAGTATATTATCCTGATAATTTTTTCCTATTTTTGATAGATACAAATCTATTATCCAACTCTATAAATATTGTATTGTAGAAGAAGCATAAGCATGAATAAAATTTACTACTCAACCAATATGCCAGACTATTTTCAGGGGAAAGTCATACTCACTGTCACTTACCTTATCAATAGAATGCTCTCTCGTATATTACACTTTCTAACATCAAGCCAAAAACTGCTTGAGATCTACACACATAACCGAACCATCTCATTCATCCCACTAAAAGTCTTTGGGTGTATGGCATTCATTCACATTCATTCACAACACCGTAGTAAACTTGAGCCCAAAGCATTGAAGTGTTCAGTTCTGGCATATTCTACAAATCAAGGGGGTATATATGTTATTCACTCACAAACAATGGTTCTATACCTCAATGGATCTGACTTTCTTCGAGAAGGAACCATTTTACCCCAAATTTGGCATTCGGGGGGAAAGAAACAAAGAAGAATCCCACTTTTGAGATCAGACAGGAATATCCACCTATCAAGAAACCCATGAGACATTGCATGAACAAACTCCCGAAACTGAATCCCCCTTAATAAACATACCAAACCAGGAACCAGTAAAGAATGGAGAAATCCTTGTATACTCCAGAAGAAAAAAAGGGAGGGAATATAGAGAAACAACTTCCAACACTTGCATAGCTGAACGAAGGTTCCAACAAATGAACCCACAATGAATGAAGCAACAAGCGATGACCTTCTGCTTGCTCTAAGAAGAGGGGTAAGATCTTGCACAAATCATCTATTATACAATTTTGTATCTTATAAAAAGTTGTCATCTCAGTTTCAAGCATTTGTTACAAGTCTAGATAATACTCGTATTCCTAAGACAATTTAAGAAGCCATCAATATATTAGATGGGAAGATAGCTATACTAGAAGAAATGAGGGCCCTAAAGAAAAATAATACTTGGGAATTTACCAAATTACCAAACGGGAAACAAACCACGTGATGCAAGTGGCTCCACAATGTGAAATACAGAGCGGATGGGAATGTTGACAGGTTAAAAGTATGATTAGTTGCAAAAAGATTCACAGTCATATGGTACTGACTAGCAGAAGACATTTGTCCCAATTGCCAAACTAAACAGAATAAGGTTTCTATTATCCCTCATAGTGAATCTTGATGGCCACTTCACCAACTAGCTGTGTAAAATGCTTTCTTAAATGGGGAACTTATAGAAGAAGTACACATGCATCCCCTCCAGGCTTTGAGACATAAGCGAATATGGATAGGGTATGCAAAGTTGAAAAATTCCTGTATGAATTAAAGCAATCCCCTAGAGCACAGTTTGACAGTTTTAAGAACACAGTGAAAGGGTGTGGATACACTCAGTGTCAAATAGCCCACACATTGTTTGTAAAGCATACTCAGACATAGAAAATTGTCACATTTATTTTCTATGTTGATGTAGTTCTAACAGGGAATGATGAAGAGGAGCTCATGAAACTCAAAAGATCCTTGCCACAGAATTTGACACCAAAAATCTGAGAAACTTGAAGTACTTCCCTGGGATAGAAGTAGTTTGGTCCATGAAAAGAATCATCTCAAAGAAAACATATAAGTGACTCACTGAAGGAAACCAGAATGTGATAAGGTGCAAATTATAGAGATCTTAATGGAACCAAATATCGAGTTTGGAACACAAGGAGAAAACCACTGATAAACAAAGGACAATACCAAAGATTAGTGGTAAAACCAACATATCTCTCATACACAAAGGCTGAATAGAGGATTTACAGAAAGTGTTGTAATTCAGTTTATGAATAGTCCAACTGAAGAACACTTAGGGGTAGTCAATCGAATCTTATGATACCTAAAAATGACACCAGCTAAAGGGTTATTTTCTGGAAAAACCACAAGAAGTGATGTAGAAGTCTTCATTGATGCTAACTAGGCAAGGTCAGTCGCAGATAGGAGATCTACTTCCGAGTATTATTCATATGTACAGGGAAATCTAATGACATGGTGGAGTAAAAAACACAACCAGTGGTAGCTAGAAGCAGCACTGAAGTAGGATTCAGGGTCATAGCACTAGGAATCTGTAAAGGAATGTGGTTCTCATGAGTACTTAAAGAATTAGGGACTGAGAATTCTACCTAATAAAATTGATATGTGACAACCTATCCACTATTAGTATTGCAAAGAATCCGGTTCACCATGACCAGACAAAATATGTTGAAATAGATCGACACTTCATAAAAGAAAAGATAAAACAAGGGATAATTCATATTGTACGCATTCCTCAACCAACAAACTGTTGACATACTCACCAAGGCATTGCTGAGAAAGAATATGAAGGATTGAGTTCCAAGTTTGGCACGATTAACATCTATACCTACCTTGAGGGGGAATGTAGAATAATTAGGAGAAGAAATAGGATCTAGATATGATCCTAGAATCCTACTTCCTAGACAGTTTTCTAAAATATTTAGAAGTATATTTTCCTAACATTTTTACCCATTTTTGAGATTCAAATCTGGTATCTAACTCTGTAAATATTGTATTCTAGACGAAGCAGAAGCATGAATAAAATTTACCATTCAACAAATTTACTTACCCAAAACCACAGAAAATGTTCTGATATCAAAAAAAGCTCTTTAAGCAGAAAAGAAAAGGAAGAACAAGTAAACATTTGGTAGAATTTCAATACAACAGCTTTTATTAAATGTTAACATTGGCTGAAAATTTTAGATTTTGAATAGCTTTGCCTGTATCTGCTCAGGATCCGTGTATCAATTATTGTTTAGGAATCACTTAGACTATCAACAACTAACACATAATTGAGTACTCTAGAATTCACTTTAATACCTGATTCGATTTGGTATGGTGACCTTCACTGTAAACAAGTGATCACCACGTATAGACGGTCTATTCAATTTTGGTGCACCTTTCCTTGCCAGGACTAGCACATCTCCTGGCTGAGTGCCTGCTGGAATCTGTAGTTCGGTAGTCCCTTCAACTGTCTTAACCTGCTTAAATGGAAAGGAATAAATTGTTTTTGTTTTCACGGGGAAAAAACAGCTAAATGATAGTTCCGTCCACCACCAAGAGCAAAAGAGTATATGGCTTCCAGATGAAATATCATGCAGCAATTATTTGTGAACAGCATAATCACGCTTTAACAGAGATATAAAAGTCATCTAGTGACTTCTCTTATCTGCATTGGGATGACTAGGGACAGCATGAAGTTAAATCAATTGCCAAGCAATTCGGGCTTCACTTGGTCAAAGTTTATTCCAAGTTCAGTTTGATTTAGAACAAATAACTATTTATATATTCCTTTTAATATACTGAATTTAAACCCAAATTGATTAGTTCTATCTATAAATGACATCTGGTTAAGCTTGTAACATGCAAGCTAGACAAGGCATTAGACATCTGACAGCACATTAACCAAGATTGTTAACTAAAAAAAAGGTGCACCACAGAATAGCTGTCTACCATTTGTTGAACTAGACAAAAATGTCAAAAAAAGCAATTTATTTGAACATCACAACAATCAGGTTTTTGGGAAGGGAAAACCATTTTTTTTTTCATATTTTCAAATTTCATTGCAAATCTAGTTGACCCAAGGTTATCTTGAGTCCAACCAAAAAAGTAGAATAGCTCCCCGAAACATACAGACTAGACAACATCTCAAAGCACTACAATCCTCATTCTTCTGTATTATGTTCAGCCATACCAGTAAATTCAGAATTCCTACAATCTATACTACGGGACTATACATAACAGACAACTAAGATCTTTATTTTCAAAATTCATACAAGTTGCATATCCTGAGGCTTTGTATATAGATATAGCCAATGACATTAGCTGAAAATTTTGAACCTTCTTTTAGTCTGATAATCAATTATCATTTAAGCATGAGAATAACAGTCCATAGTTCAATGCAAACTAAAAATAACTGCAGAGAACAGAAAGAATCGGCTCAAAAAGAGAAAAAGATAAAAAAAAATGTCACCTTAACAACAGCCCCCAGTATGGCATCGAGATAACTAATTGATATGGTTGACAAGAGATTTATGCCATCTCTTTGGATTCCAGTCACCTCTTCGACATCAAGATATACATAGAGATCCCCAGGAGGGCCCCTAAAGAATCCAAAAAACCAGTAAACAATCCAGAACCATGAAAATAATGAAGAATACCGTTCTTTTTCATTTCCTTTTCAGCAATTAAACTAGGAATCAGTTTATGTAAGTTGAGCACAGATTCTGGCACCTCAATAGCTAGTCCCCAAACAGTGAGTGTTTGGCAAAATGGTGCTTGTAAGTTGAAAATTCATAAAATGAGTAAAAAAGACATGACAAAAAGAAATCAATTCTTTCTGATAATGGTACTTCCGCTAAAAGCGTAGAAGCAAACTTGTCATTTCCCAATGGAGTATATAAAGAAAAAGAAGATATTTGTGACTCTTTTTTCTCCAGCATATTTTTTAATTGATGTAGGGTATCAGTTTAGGTTATTGTTGATGAATTTAACCGTGCAGAAGATAAGCCAAACTAGATGAGCAAGTGTATATTTCTAGTATGTACAAACATAATTGTTTGACACATGCATTTTATTTTTTTCTATAGGTGAAGGATTATAGTTCTTTTTTTTGAGATATAAAATGCGAATTGTATTGATATAGGCACCAAGGAGGTGCCATCCATGTACAAGTCAATCAATCTATCAACAAGTTCCGTTAAATTCTCCATAAAATAAAGAGAATGACCCCAAATAAAAAACCAATGGCCTGGAACCATCTATTCTTAAGTAAATCAAAACCATTAACATCCTCAACCCCATCAAAAACCCTCCTATATCTCTCTTTTCACAGCACCCAAAAGATAGAGAGCAGAATTATGTTCACTTGCTTCTGTGAGGCACCCCAAAGAGTGTCGATGCTTCCATCCAACGAAATACAAGATAACATGTCCAATGACTCCTTGTAGAAAATAAGAAGAAATTAGGTTGTATATTTTCTGTTTCTTTTTTTTTTTTCTCTTTTAGCTGTATACAGAGGAAGTTACAAACAAATTTCCTCCTCCCCATAAAATTGTTAGAATCTTGTTAGAATTTGTTGGGTTTGCTAGCATTTAAGGTGTATAAATACCCATCATTCATGATGGAAAATATAGATGAGAAGCAACATTTCAACTCAAATTTCTTCATGGTATCAAAGCCATACCTGATCTAAGAAGAGTGATACCTGCTGAGCTGTAATCACAAATGGCCACAGACGAGCTTCCGTCTTCTCTAGAGGTCTCCTCTGGTTTCTATCATCACACAGCAACCAGCAACGTTGCGAGTGAGATATCTTCGTCCTGCATTACAGGACACAAACTCAACGGCAGTAATTGCCTACAATGGTCGTCCTCTGTCCGATTGTTCATCCGGGGGAAGGGTCGCTACGGACATCTTACTGGCAAAATTGTATCTCCTCCAGCGACTAACTCAAGCGCTCGTGTATGGGAGATTGAAGACAGCACGGTGATGTCATAGCTCATCACGTCAATGACCCCAAAAATTGGAGAGAATTTTCTACTTTATGAAACTGCTCACGATATCTGGGAAGTAGCTCTGGAATTTTACTCCAGTAAAGAAAATACTTCCGCCATTTTCGAGATAGAGTCCACGCTTCATGATCTTCGGCAAGGTGAGTTAAACATCACTCAGTATTATAATGTCTTAACTCGTAACTGGCAGCAGATGGATACATTTGAAGAACGTCGATGGAGCTGCCCCGAAGATGCGAAGAAGTTCAAATCGTTCATCCAAGAGAAGTGCGTCTTCAAATTCTTACTGGGGTTGAACAGGAACCTCGACGAGATTCGAGGACGCATGCTGAATACCAAACCCTTGCCGAGTCTTCGGGAGGCATTCTCTGAAGTCTGACGCGAAGAGAGCCACAGGGAAGGTCATGATGGGTGATGTTGAACAGACCCACCTGGCCGAAAACTCTTCAACGTTCACAACCCGAGTTGTCATCGGACGAAGAAGACGAGACCCTGGTGTGATCACTGTAAGAAGCTATGGCACACTCGTGAGCGATGCTGGAAGCTCCATGGCAAGCCGAATGACTGGAAGCCTTCGGGTGAGTGGAAATCCTCCAAGGCAGAAACCTCAAGCAAGCATCAGGGCAATCATGTAATTGCTAAAGAAATGCTCTCTGATGTTGTGGAGAGCAGCCCCTTCAGTCCTGAACAGCTGGGAGTCCTCCAACATATTTTGTCTAAAAATTTCTACTCGGTCAGTGCCTCTGTGGCACACAAAACTAATATCATTAGTTTATTTGTTTTCTCAGAAAAATGACAGGTGTGGGTAGTAGACTCTGGAGCTTCTGACCGTATGAGTCGAGATGCCTCAATGTTTCAGAAATAGAACAAGTGTGAAGAAGTTTTTTCAATCAAAATTGCTGATGGTTCTCTTTCAAAAGTAGCTGGAATGGGCTCTGTAAATTTATCTCCAAATTTAACTCTGTATTCAGTTCTCCATGTTCCAAATTTGGATTGTAATTTACTATCAGTTAGCAAGCTATGTGAAAACTTAAAATGTACTGTAAAATTTGTCTCTAATATGTGTGAATTTCAGGACTTGGACTCGGGGAGGACGATTGACAGTGCTAGGATGAGCTCAGGATTATACCTACTTCAAATCAACACTTCTGAAGGACAAGCTCACAAAGCAATATGTGTAAACTCTATTTTTGCAAATAATGATCATGATATCATATTCTGACACTATAGACTAGGACATCCAAATTTCAGGTATCTAAAAAAGATGTTTCCTTCACTATTCAAAGAAAAAGATTTAGTTTCTTTTCAGTGTGAAGTATGTTAATTTTTTAAACATTTTCGAAGTTCATTCTCTAGTTTACCACACAAATCATCAAAACCGTTACATTGATTCATAGCGATGTATGGGAACCCTCCAAGATCCCTAATATCACCGGAACTATATGGTTTGTATCCTTTATTGATGACCATACAAAAATTACGTACGTGTTTCTCATGAAAGAAAAATCAGAAGTTGAACCTTTATTTAAAAAATTTCATACAATGATTCGAACTCAATTTCAGGCTACCATCCAAGTGTTGAAATCTGACAATGTTTGTGAATATTTTGAAGCCACCGTTGAAAAATACCTTACTGAACATAAAATTATTCACCAAAACTCGTGTTCATACCCCACAGCAAAACTGCATAGCCGATAGAAAAAATAAACATATTTTTGAAGTAACTAGATTAATTATGCAAAATTCCTCTGGGGAGAGGCAGTTCTTTCTGCTACCTACCTGATAAATCGGATGCCCTCCCGGATCTTACAATTTCAATCACCTTACGCCATTCTTTCACAAACCTTTCTACATCTCATAGTTTAAATACATTACCACTCAAAGTTTTTGGTTGTTCAGCTTAGATCCATATTCACAAACACCTCCATGGGAAACTTGACCCAAGAGCCATAAAATGCATTTTTATTGGGTCCTCTGTTAATCAGAAAGGCTACAAGTGTCTAGTTTTGTAAACCTGTCCGCTTCTATAATACAATAGATGTCACATTTTTTGAAAGCTAATCTTTTCACCCCACAGCTGATATTCAGGAGGAGACATTTACTCAAGAATATCAGTTATGGGATGTGAGTACACCTCCTCTATAGCCACAGAGTCATTCCTCACTAGACAAACCTTTCCTATAACCTGAACCAAAGCCAATTGCAGAGAACACATTACCTGCAGCTAGTGAGCTACGTGTCTATACTATAAGAAACAAAGGAAAAGCACCTGAATCATTTAAGCCCTGCCATGAATCTACCATTGATTCAGGTAATGTAATCTCTGCTCCTACTTCAGATACTGATATTGATGTTCTTATTACTTTGAGAAAGGGGATTTGGACATACACTAAACATCCTATACAAGATTATGTTTCTTTGGACAAGCTGTGTTCTGAGCATCATGCTTTTATATGCAGAATAAACAATAGTTCACCAGAACCCAAAACAATTCATGAAGTTTTGGAAATACCCGAATGAAAGATAGCTGTTCAAGACGAAATCAAGACACTTGAAAAGAATAAGACATGGGAATTAGTGGATCTACCTCCAGGAAAATACCAAGTGCGGTGCAAATAGGTCTTCACAAGTAAGTATAATCCATATGGGAGTGTGAATCAGTATAAGGCTCACCTGGTAGCCAAAGGCTACACTCAGTCATATGAAGTAGACTATCACGAGACCTTTACTCCAG